ATCTTTGCATTGGAACCCACAGGGGCAAAGGCTGACTGACTGTCTTTCTACCCCACCAGGACATCACACAAGCGATAAACACCCGATGACACAAAGTGCCACCATTCTGGTGAGGATCGCCGTGGAGAGGTCCCAGAAACCGCGTTCAGACAATTAGCCATATTTATGGCCTGCCTATATTGCGGTCCCTGGCAAAAGCCAGGATGGGGCTTCAAATAACAAAAAATTTCATCCTTATCAAGACGAAACTGTGACAGGGGCATCATAGGCATAAGGAAAGGCACAAAAAAAAAAAAAAAATGAAGAAGAAGAGCTTCATGCAATGGCGAAGGATAGAACGACTTGGCGTGAGTTATGCTCCATTGGGGGATAGAATGACAGAAGAGAAGAATCCTGTAATTTGTAAGCAACAATCGTTTCCAGAATCTTATAGAACGTATTCTGTAAAGGTAAACAACTCTAGACTGCTCTAGCTAGAGTTGTCTGCCTCAGTGTTGCCACTTTGGATCTTTTATATCCAAATTTAGATCTTTTTAATTGCATTTAGATACTGTTTTTGACGTTTAGATAGTAAGTATTTTTCTAGAAACTTTTCATATGGAGTTAGATATTTTATAGATATTTTTTTCTTTCATTGTCAATTTAATAATTACTGTGTAAAATATTTACTACAATATGAAAAGTGCTACACAGTTGAAATACTATATGGAATGTACAGTGATGAAAAAAATGTGTCATTCATTCTCTTTTTATAACCTATTCTAATGGAAGTGCAAAATGTTAATAAACTGTTCGAATCTAAACTTGTTGATAAAGTTAAATTACTTGATGATCTCACCTTGCTATATCACTCGGTAAAAGACTGGTGTTGCCAACTTCTAAAGTTGATTTGCTCACCTGCACTATAGAAAGCTATTTGGCTCCTAAGCCACACATTGGATATTAAATCGAATCAAAAATTGATGATTTAAAAACAAAAGGACTGTTAACAGAGAATGAAGAGAACAACTTAAGAAAACGCTGTCAAGATTTCCTTATCTCATTATTGAAGCAACTGAAGCAGAGACTTCCTGAAAATCTAGATGTTTTGAAAAATATTTCACTTTTTTCTGTGAGCAACGTACTTTAGCCAATAAAGTACATACCTAAATATTGTAAAGTTATGACATTTTTAGGGGCTACTGATAATAGTGTCGCTGAAAGTTAGCTGATTGGACAAACAAAACATAAACTAATGCGTTTTGGAGTGAAGTGAGACAATTTAAAGATGCCTCATCAAACAGTCCATTCTGTAAGCTCTTTAAAGTGCCATGTCTGCCATGATACTACCCCACTCAAATGCTGACGTAGAAAGAGTTTTCAGTGCTAGGAATTATATCAAATCTAACCTAAGAAACAGAATGAAATTTGACATCGTAAATGCTATCGTGCCATTAAAATTTGACCTGATGAGACTAGAGAAATAAGCCTACTGTTCCACTTATAAAGAAATTTGAACAGCTAAAGCATACCAGGGTCATTTTGGATCTGAAGCTTCAACTTCATTATCCAAGCTAAGTGTATCCTGTGGATCTTATGAGGCAGACATCAGTGAAGGTGAGGACATGATTATGTAGGGTAAGTAATAACAAAAGCTATGTAATTTTTGACTTTTTCAATTTGGATGTTTTTTCTAGATCTTTTTCACGCAGATTTAGATCTTTTTAGATATTTTTTGACACCGTTTTGGATATTTTTTGTCAAAGAAAAGTGGCAACACTGGTCTGCCTTCGTTCTGAGGTCGCTCTAATGGACGCCAACATGATGGGGATAACTTCAGGTTTCAGCGATTCTATAAATCTGTGGCACGCTGTTATCAGCGAACGTCAAGTTTGAAACATTTGTAGGCTACATGAACTTGATAATATTAAAATATTATTGTTAAGGAATAAGGACTATAATTGTGTCTTTAATATATTAGTCACGAATGACTAAGCTAAGTCATTACATCATTCATGACTTCTGCTAGTTAACAAATATTGTTCTTCAGCTTCTGTGTAAACTTATGAGATGTACTTAAATTATGGCGTTCTTATCTTTATTAAAATTATTCTAATTTAATTTTAAGTATTAATTAATAATAATTATTTATATGAATGATTATTAAAAGATTCGGCTCTCCTTGCAGATCCGGACGAGGGTTGGACGCGGCTCTCCCTTGGCCGCACTCGAAACAAATGACATACTTACCTATCATCATACGGTTGCGTGTAAGGTTGCGTACGATTGCGTTTAGGGTTGCGTAGTCATCATACGGTTGCGTGTAGGGTTGCGTAGTCGTCATACGGTTGCCTGAAGGGTTGCGTTGTCATCATACTGTTGCGTGTAGGGCTGCGTAGGGTTTGGGTTAGGGGTTTTGGTTAGGGGTAACGTTAGGGTTATGGGGTAGGGTTAGGGGTTATGGGTAGGCTTAGAGGTTAGGGGTAGGGTTATGGGGTAGATGTGAAAATTTACACGTAGGAGGTCGAAATAGTGGCCGACAATCTGATGCTTGTGGGAGTGGCGCCACTGAAATTCTGCCAAATATGACGCCAATAGCGGGCGGCTGGTGCCCAATCGGTGGCGAATTGTCCGTGTCAGTAGCATCCACCGTCCCTCGACTGTTTGAGTGTGTATGTGACTGTGCGCGATTATAGGGAACTACGGCGTCAAAATTGTCACATCTAACGCTAAACCTAACCCTACCCCTACCCCTAACCATAACCCTTACGGCAACCCTAACGCTACCCCTAATACTAACCCTAATCCTACCCCTACCCCGATCCTTAACCACGCAAATTTATCGGTCATTAAAGCATACAGATCGGCAAAACAAAAACAAAAAATCCCCAGATATCCCTGCAGTGTAAAAAAAAAAACCCAGATCTGGGGGACACACCCAAGCATTGGCAGCCCTGATGTCGACCTCACTTTCTTGTTTGATTCGTGACTTTTTCCGCTACTTGTTTCGAGTGTGGCCAAGGGAGAGAACTCCCACTAAACTGAACTAAGTCGTCCAACCTGCGTCCAACCCTCATCCGGATCTGCAAGGAGAGTAGACAGCCTGTTAGTCGGAGTTCTGTCCCCTGGCTGCAGTGCAATTACGGACTGAAAAAGGCATGAATCAGAAAACACAGTGAGGTCGACATGCCTGGCAGACCCCGCGCTGCGACTCAAATTAGCGACTGCGTTAAATTACCGCTTCTTGCAACGCAGTACGGAGTGGACTAGAGGGAACAAAACAAGTGACATAATTACTGTGTGTTGGCGATAGACAGCGTGCAGTGCCCTACTGTCATCATACGGTTAGGGTTTGGGTTAGGGTTAGGGGTAGGGATGGGTTAGGTTTAGGGTTAGGGTTTGGGTTGCTACTATGAGTTTGTGCGAAGACGAGATGCGGCGACACTAACCGTAACCCTTACCCTAACCCTAAACCTAACCCTCACCCTACCCCTAACCCAAACCGTAACCGTATGATTATAGCAGGGCAGTGCACGCTGTCTATCGCCAACAAACAGTAATTATGTCATTTGTTTCGTTCCCTCCTTTTCACTCCGTAATTGCACTGCAGCAAGGGGACAGAACCCGACTAACCGGCCGTCTACTGTTGTCTACCGGCCGTAGTTGAAAGGAGAGCCGAAGATTGATTTGTACTAAACTGCGACATTTAGACATTCTGTTAGGCAAGTATTGTTCGTACAAGCGAAACTTGTCAAACTTAAAACTCTGCCTACTTTTTCTGTTAACCTAATACTTACTTACCTGACAGGTATATTAGTATGAGACAGAACAGAGTCAGAGAGAGACAGGAAAACAAAAAAGGGCTATCCTCTGAATAACGGTCATAAATTATTGAGGCGGAAAATATACCCTAACAGGGCCTCAGTCACGGATCAGTTGCGCAGTTCCGTCGTCTTAAAATGTGAGCTTTTGGCGACTTCCGCGACCGACGAATTGCAAACTTTTGGCAACTTCCGCCACCGCTCACGTGCTGTGGATTGCGGCTAAAATAGATGGCTATGACTCATGAGCAGCAGCTACCGCATCTCCTAAATTCTAAATTCTCTTTCTTTGACCACTTTCAGCTAGGTCTGTTCACATTTCTGCTCACTTTCCTTTCAGCTATATTTGTGGTGACGTTTTCTGGTCGCGATCTTATTTGATTCTGGATTGTGTTCAATATTGTCACTTTCTGTTTGTTGTGGTTTCCGCTCTTGCTGTTGTTTTTGTAATCTGGCATCTCCTGCAGCTTCCTTCATTTTATTTGCTTGTGAGTCCCAGCTTTCTAGTTTAGCCCAAATCCAAGCCACGTGAGCAGCGTGGGGGGACACTCTCGGCAGTGGCAGAAGTTTGCAATTCGGCAGTGGCGTTATAGTCCCCGGAAGTGCGCAATTGACACTTGACTGAGGCCCTGTTAGGGTATATTTTCCGCCTCGATAATTTACGACCGTTATTCAGAGGAAAACCAAAAAAAAAAAAAAAGAAAGAACTTAGCTGAAAGCTTTAAACTGACAATTGATCACTCGCATTAATTATCAAAATCAAACCATTATGTTTCACCATGAAGTTACATTTATCTTCTATTACCATGAGATTACACTTATGTATCACCTTATCATATCTGTTACCTTGAGATTACAATCATGTGTCTTCTTTCACCTGGAGATTGCACTCATCTGTAAAGTGAGAATAATTGAGAAGTAATATGTTACTTTTTTAATTGTTGGATTTAAAATCAAATTAAATTATTGGTGTTCTTTCTGTGGCTTTCAGAATCTTGCAGTAGGGCAGCAAAGACTACAACCTTTATGTACGTGGCCAGCAACGATGATAGAAGTCCATCTCCATGCGGTCTAGCGTCTGATAGAACAGCAGACATCTTATGGCTAGCTCACGACACAAATATTTCAGCATTTTCCGGGCAGCAGTAGCATGCTGACTAAGAAAGGATTTTAAATTTGTATTCTGGCATTTAAAAAAAAATGCCGCGACTGTTTGTTGTGTTCAGAACATTTGATCGCATCTGGGCGTGTAAGACTTTCACACGAGAACTGGCCCCATTTGAGATGGACATTTCTGAAGGCCCAATCAAATTCATGTTCATGGTTGACCAGATAACAGCTGCATCTAATGGTAAAGAAATGTTTGTGGTGGATTCTCACTTGATAGGCCAAAATAACATCAAACCTGTTGATCCTGTATCATTTTACTGCCATGCTCACAAAAAGTTTTCACCTGTAATTGTCAGACAGTGTAAGCAAGAGCTGGCCACACTTTCTCCAACTACTGGGGTAAGAAAAGGTTTGATGCGAAGATTCTCTGTACCCAGTTTAGAACTTGATCTGAACATGAAATCGGCACCTGATCAGTGTAGTTCACAGGATGTGGTTTACTTTGTGCTGCCAAAGTTTAGATGTACAATCTTGATGGATGCCCACTTGGCTTCGTGTGTATACAGTGAATATTCTAGAAGCAAAGTGTTTCGGCGACATTTTATGCATTATATTTGGAGAAATAACGGTTTCCGCAACTGTGTACCGGACTATGAGAAGTGGACTCAGGAGGAGAGAGATGCCTGGGAGAATTACTTATCTGTACCTTATATGATTGATCTGGTGGCTGTGTGGCCGAAGCAGAAGATTGATTATGCTTGGTAAGTATATTAACTGACCAGTTCATTTGCTCATTAAAGCATATGATATGAGATTTAATTATATTATCGTTAAATTTAGCTGTTTGGCTTAAAGGTTAGTTGCTGTGTTTAACAGTCTCATGATTCTCATGTACTAGGGTTACATTCCCTTGGTGGACTGTTTAAAAAAATCAATTTTCTTGGTTTTCAGACACTAGTGTGTGGCGCAGGAATTTAAGTAACAGGCATAAGGGAAAGTTAAGGTTGTAGTGATGAGCATAAGGAGACACTCCGTACCTGACTTCGGGTGCCAGCAGGATCAGTACCAGATTTATGGATCGCACCCACGACTCCTACCACACTATGGATAACGCCTGTATCGACATAAACTGAACTGACAGAGATCTCGACATTGGTTGCCCCCAGAGATGTGGCATCTAGGAATCTTGTGCTGCACATTGATGAAAAACAAACGGTGGTTCCAGGGCCCAAATTTATTGTGGATGGTGGGGAAAATGGGATAGACCCATCTTCATGTCATAGAAGGCATTGCGAATGAGGGTTTTGCTGTAATCAATTTTGTCCAAAAGGCACAGATATCACAGCCTGGCTGTAAACCGCAGTGAAGAAGAAGAAGAACAGTAGTATGAGAGTCACACCATGGTGGGAGTTGAGGCCTCGCCATGTAAAATTCCCAAAGACAGCAGTGTGTACACAGTAGCCGGCTGTCATTGTGGAGATGGCACACCATTTGATTTAATCTTCAAGCGCCTGGTCTGGAACCGCTGTCAGTGATCATGACATTACAGTTTTCTCTGTCATGTTTTTATGAAGTTGATATGGCTTATGTTTCAATGTGTTGCTCATCTAGGTTTTTTCTAAGCATGTTTTCTGCTTAACTCTCGTTTGCAACCATCCAAACCTTCCGCTCGTTTGCAACCATCCAAACCCTCTGCTCATTTGTAACCATCCAAACCTTCCGCTCGTTTGTAACCATCCAAACGCTCTGCTTACTTCCCACTGAATTAGTCTGTCCAGGTATGGATACCCTGTCTGTTATGTTGTTCTGTCCATTTGATCTCAGAGAGCCTTCACCATGCCGGCTGCTTTGTAAAGTAGCTCACCACCCAAAGGATTGGCAGCAGTCAGTCTATCAGCTTGCTCATTACTCCACAGACACGATTGTCCTGGACAGAAAATCTGAGTCTTATTAAGCACTGCGAACCACTTTGCTCATAGGATACCAGTTTCTATTTTCCAATGTATGCTCTGTGAGTCCATTACAGTTACAACCATCCTCATAGGGGCAAAAACAGAAGAAGAAGCTTTGCCTGTCTTTGAGCCACTAAAAGCTATATAATATGCACAGGGAAAAAGTTTCCTCAGAAAGTTGAACAAGATGTATTTTCTACCAGGTCCAGGCGAATACTAGGTCTTGTGAACAAACATGTGGTTCTAGAGGAGGGATTTGCTTGGCTGTCTACTCTTGGTGGCGCTCACTCTTCCCTTGGTGAGACATTCATCCATCATGTAGGTATCGGATGTTAATGCATTTTCTTTTTCAGTTTTGCGATGTAGCTGTACCTCTGACTTTGTGTGTGTTAATGTTAATATTGGTTGGCATGGTTCAGCACTTTTGCACTTACTTTTATGTATACAGTGTACGCTTAATCACTAGACTATTTTAAATTAATTATTTGCTCAACGTAATTAAATAAGTATATTACGCCATATTGAAAACACCATGTAATGGTTAATTTAGATTATCACTGCTGTATACTGGAGTTTTACTAATTGATCTTAGTTATAGTGGTGTTAACTATTAAAGAAAGAATATTTTTGATTGAGCATGTGATCCCTGAGAGTGGCTGGTATTTGAATGTGGTAGTTCAACAGTTTAGAATGTCATTTCCTGATACTCAATTAGTAAGTAAGTAAGTATAGGACCCTTTTCCCTGCTTTCAGGCGTGTTGAGCACAGAGGGCCAGACCTTTATTTTATAGGCCAGTAGGCTGTTGGTGGGTAATGTGGTCAGCATCACGCCAGTCATCTTTACTTCGCAGGACTGTACCTAGTACTCACTCAAGGCTAGGTTGACCTGGGAGCCAAGGTCATTTAAAAAAAAAAAAAAATCTGGCTCCGTCAGGACCCGAACTCATGACATTCCAATCCGCAGGTGCGCATCTAGCTGCTACACCATGGCGGCTCCCTGGTACTTAAGTGCCTCATCCTTATAGTGTTAGCAATTTAACAAGTAGAATCAATTGTGAGTAGAGCTGTCATGTTGAAAACAGTACCCAAAATAAGACACACTAGCAGTAAATATGGATGTGAATCATGGACAGTAAATTAGTGAAAACTTATTTGGAAGCTGCAGAGATGTGGTTTTATAGACGAATGATGAGAATACCATTGACAGATAAAAAGAGTAATGAAGATGTCTTCTACCTGATCAATTATTACTGCCCAAGTGATCGTCCCCAGGCTTTAGACACAATCCCAGTGGAAGAAAAGATGATTCTATGTGGAGACTTTAACAGCTACTCACAAAGCTGGGGATATGACCATATATACCAGAGAGGAGAGAAACTGGAGGAGTGGCAGGATGAGAACAGATTTGTTCTTATTAATAGGCCAACTGATCCACCCACATTCTACTCGAGGTCGTGGCACACCACTACTACCCCAGACCTAGCATTTCACTCTCCAGATCTGGAATGGAACATTAAACGAGTTGTTGGAAATCAACTGGGAGGCAGTGACCATCGACTGGTCTTCCTGAATGTAGAAAATGAGAAGGTCAGAGAAACTAGTACGCTGCCAAGGTGGAACTACAAGAAGGCTGACTGGACAATGTTCAAGCACCGTACCAGTATACTGCTTGGAAGTCTCAGCGTAGACCAGAATATAAACAAAGTAGTTAAAGAATTTAACAAATGCGTACTAAAGGCAGCAGGAGAATCAATACCAAGAGGTGCCCGTAAGCATTATAAGCCATACTGGAGTAATGAGCTAGAAAATTTACATAACGAAGTAGAAACATCCAGAAAGATAGCAGAGACCAGGCCAAACCAAGAACATCACAATAACTACCAGCATGCAAAAGCAAAATTTGTAAGGGCAAAGCTGCAGGTTAGAAGGGAAAGCTGGCAGGAGAAAACAAGGTCGCTGAACTTTGAAAAAGACACAAGAAAGTTATGGAAGCTTGTGAAACAAATTAATGATGAGGACACAGGGTGGAACTCAAAGATCACGCTGCAAAAAGATGGAAACATGGTCACAGGAAAAGAGGCAGCCAACCTATTTGCGGACACTTTTGCTTTAGATAACGACATTGAAATCAGTTCAGAGAAAAAACATGAAATTCAAGAAAAGACACAATTTAGAAGTCAGAAAGAAATAACATCAGAGGCGCTAGAGGTGCCAATTACACTTAATGAACTGGAGTTGGCCATTTCAAAGCTGAAAATGCGGAAGTCACCAGGAGCAGATGGTATATCAAACGAAATGATCAGAAACTTAAGACAAGTAGCCAAAACAAAGCTTTTAAAGATATTTAATGCTTGCTGGGCAACAGGGAACGTTCCACAGATCTGGAGAGAGGCAATTATGATACCCCTCATAAAGCCTGGGAAAGACAGTTCTAATGCCTCCAACTACAGACCAATCAGCCTCACAAGTTGTCTCTGTAAAACAATGGAGCGCATCACCAACCTCAGACTACAGTGGTACATTGAAAGTGAAAACATCATTACACCACAGCAGGCGGGCTTTAGAAAGTTCTATTCTACGGAAGACCAGACAACATACCTCTCCCAAGAAAGAAAGGATGCTTTTCAAGATAAGAAACTGGTACTCGCGGCATGGATAGATTTAAGGAAAGCTTTTGATAAGGTTTGGAAGGAGGGGCTTTTGAAGAAATTGAGAAACTATAAAATAAATGGGAAAATGTACAATTGGATTAAAGCATATCAACATAACAGAAGAGCCCGGTTACAGGTAGATGGTTTTAAAAGTAAAAAAGTTCTACTGCGACAAGGCGTCCCTCAAGTTGGTGTCCTGTGCCCACACTTTTCCTTTTATTTATCAACGATCTGGTTGCTGAGATACCAAATGGAATCAAAATGGCAATGTATGCTGACGACCTGGTACTGTGGTGCACCAATGAACATGCAACAATAGCCACAAAAACACTACAGCGGGCTACAAATGCACTTGAAGCATGGGCCAATAGATGGTGTGTCAACATTAACACAGACAAATGTAGCACACCCTCTCCCCAAAGCAAAAAGCCGGCACCATCAAAATAAACGAAATATCCCTGAGAGATGATAAAGAGCCCACATACCTAGGAGTCACATTTGATGAGAGGTTGACATGGAGAAAACATATCAACAAGGCAGCAACCAAAGCCAGGAGGAAGACAGCAATTCTAAGAAAACTAAGTGGAACCACATGGGGAGCAGATGGGAAAATACTCAATAAAGTGTACAAGCAGAGCATACTTCCACACTTGGAATATGGGTCAACTGCATGGTGTTCAGCATCTAGTACTACATTAAAGGAGTTAGACAAAGTGCAAAATCAAGCGCTCAGAGTCATCACAGGAGGGATGAAATCAACTCCCATATTAGAAATGGAGAAAGCTGGGAAAACACAGGCACTGAGAGAACGCAGAGATACAAAGTTGCAAATACAAGCTGAAAAGTTCCTCAGTATGCCAGATCACCCGATGGAAAATAGATTTAAGAACCTAGCCTTAGGACGGTTAAAAAGAAGCAGCTTTATACACCAAGCAAAAAGAATATGTAGACAAACTCCTGACCTTCCAGAAATTGGCTGCCCACTTAAAAGTATTCCGGAACAAACCCCATGGAGAGAAAAATGTAAACTAACGGTACAAATCCAGACAAATGTGAAAGGGATATTTGACAAGAAAGAGCAAGATAGTGTACAACGCAGAATGGCCACCCTCAGTTATATTGATGAAGAATACCCACAAGAACAATGGGTCAGAGTCTATACAGATGGGTCCGCAGAAAGTGCAGTTAGAAATGGTGGTGCTGGAGTGTACATCGAATTCCCAGATGGTACTAGGGATAAGTCCAGTGTACCAACCGGGAAGTACTGCCATAACTATGATGCAGAAACCCAGGCTATTAAGATAGCTACAGAGAAACTGCTAAATACCAACCTTGGCTTACAGTATGTGGTAATGCTCACAGATGCTAAATCAGTACTTGAAGCACTCCAGTTTAGGAAACTACCAGAATTGCAAACACTGCTGACACAACTCAGCGCTCAGCGAAGAGTCGTAATGCAGTGGATACCGTCTCATTGTGGAGTGCCTGGAAATGAGAAAGCTGATCAAATGGCAGGGGAAGGTGCGAAAAAAGAGCAGCCAGATGTACCAGTCACATACCACCAAAAGAAAAGAATCATTAAATCGATCAGGAAACCACCAGCCCCAGCACAAGACGACTATTTTATTATGGACAGACCAGAACAAGTCATTATCTTCCGCCTCAGAACAGGGCACAACCGATTACGTAACCACATGTACACAAAATTCAAGATATGTGTATCAGCCATGTGCACCTGTGGAAATGTGCCCCAGACCGCAGAGCATGTACTCCAGGACTGCACCGATTTTGACACATTAAGGCAAACCTTTTGGCCAGAAAGAACAACAGTGGAACGTAAACTCTATGGACCACTGAATGAACTAACAACGACAGTGAAATTTATACAAGAGACAAAACTGCTGATATAGATAACTTATTTCAGGCGAACGAAAGAAGAAGAAGAAGAATGTCTTGAAAGAAACTGTCTCACGAAGAAAACTGATTGCAGACATCAGAAAGAGACAATCTACATTCTTTGGTCATGTGATCAAAAGGAGAAAATTGGAGTACATCATGACAGTAGGAAAGTTGGAGGAGAATCTGGTAATGTTAGTTTCAGCTTCATAGCAAACGGGCCACCCCATTGTTGCTCCGCTCCTGTGCCAACGAAAAACACACAGAATATTTATCACAGTCCCTTGTGGAAAGATTGACAGACTGCTGTCTCAGCACTAGCATACACACGCATTAAAAGCATACGGCAGCCATCAGAAGTGCTAACACAAACAGTCCGACATTAGAAATGCAGTTCATCATGTATGGTAGCCGAAGTCACCAACAGATCAGCAGCTGCACACATGATCAATTTTAATTACATAATGGCACCACCAATATTGCGACAACAGGCACCACTTTAGTCACAGTCAAAAAATACTATATCCTTTCAAAAGGAGCAAAAATGCAGCAGCAAAAAAATTTGTTACGGCTCAAAGCAGTGGCTGTGCCAAACGTCCATTTGACCGGAAGTTTCAGTGTGTTGGAGGGGAGTAGAGGCAGAGGGAGACTGAGAGAAAAGATGCTGTACAGTCTGACATCATGGCTTGGAAGATCATCAGTGTCAGAGTTGATTGAAAGTAAACGAGACAGAAGGTTGTGGATAGACATGACTACCAATGCTACACAACAGTGACTCTAAGAAGAAGCAGGAAATGTATTAACTCCACAGGCGGTTATTACAAAAAAAGGAACGGCAATATTTTCGAAAAATACAGTCATTAAAAATACACCCTATGCATTTTATTCCTCCTTGTGAAATTTTCAACATTGATTGTTATTTTTGATTGACACATCATGTTCAACTGTTGGGCAGAGTTGAAGAAACAATGGACACATCATGTTCAACTGTTGGGCAGAGATGAAGAAAGAATTGACACATCATGTTCAACTGTTGGGTAGAGATGAAAGAAGTGACACATTATGTTGAACTGTTGGGCAGAGATGAAGAAAGAATTGACAAGAAATGTGTGAAAAATACATGTGGTTCTAGGCCCCACATAGGAGGGGAAAGAATAAACTCACAGCCCCCTTAACAAGCAAGCTGTAAAAGCTAAATAATTAGGGCTTCACTGAAATCGAATGTGTTAGGCACTGAAAAATGCAAATATCACAGCCTCAGTACTGTAAACCACAGCACATTGGGCTTAATCAAAAGAAGAAATCCTTGGAATGTGATTTAAAAAAATTATTCTATGAGTTTTTTCATCATCATCATTTTATGACAAAAATTATTTTATCAGCATCATTATCATAATTATTTTAATATTGATGAATATTATCATTATTGTTTTGTTGATTTGATATCAGGCAGAGCAGGCGGGGAAGATCTCGGGCCAGCAGTTACGACTGGCAATTGAACTGGGAAACGAAAGTCTGATCGCCAGGTGCTACATCTTCTGGGCCTGGAGTCTGCTTCAGCGAGGGTTGCTACGGCGATGTAAACATTGTGTGCTGTAAGTATTCCTAGTTTTTGAGACTAGATATTAACATTTAACTGGGAATTGTGTGGCCTAGAGGTAGGGCATACACATCTAACTATGGCAGATCTGGCTGCATCCAGAGTGTGGACTGATTCATCATCTTGTGCCATACGGATAAGCGCAGTCATGTTTCACCATCTCAGACGATCATGAGAATCATGGATTAGCTCAACATTGTTGTCTGGATCCATCCAGGAATTATCTGTTTGCTGCTAGGAAATGTTGTTAAGCTTGTTTGCTTACTGTCCATGTTTCCCATGTATATAACAACACAGGATTTACCTGCCACTTGAACACTCTTTTTCTCACTGCAGTTTTATTATTGGTAAGAATCATTTGCATCTTGCTAAAGGCCACCTTTGTCATGGCAATTCTTGTTTAATTTCTGCAAGGCATCTTGTATCAGATGTTATACCTGATTAGGTTAAGGTTTTAAAAAAAAAATGACCAACATAACTGCCTGGTTCTGCACCACTAGGTGGTAAACTGTACCACTCCTTTTCCTGTTTGTGTCTATTTAAAAATGATAATGAAAAGACACCATCTAAATTTGTTTAGTCAGTTGACAGCTATTTGTATGTATGGCTGGTGGAGGTAACATCTGAAAACTAGTGGTTAGCATCATCCTACTGTTTTTGAATCCTTGGTATAATCTTCTCTAGCATTGCCAGCCCTTGAGGTGTTTTGCTGCAAATGTCACCGGCTTCCATTCGTCTGTCTCATTGGCCTTCTCTTTCTAGTTGGTGACTCCAGATGTCTGTAGATCTGATGTATATTATCTCTCCTCTATCTTCTTGACTTGCCTGATGGTCTAATGTTCATCTTTTTGTTTCATGTACAGTTTTTGTATCTCTCTTATCTGGCCTTCTCTATAGAGGCCCCAACCATTTCTATTTCCCCTCATGATTCCAGTTCCCAGTGTTGTCTTAGGCCTCATGGGGGTGGGGAGGGGGGGGGGGGGTTGAGAGGACCAGGGAGATTGTGATAGAAAAAAGACCCACTTGCCTAATAACAAGCCTGTTGTAAAAGGTGTCCATTCTTGGCTCAGGTCTTGTTCCAGAATTTCAGCTTTGCGTGCACATCAGTTTTACAGATTTGGCTTTTGTTGTTGTTGGTTCCTTGCCTCTCAGTCAGAGACACTCCAGCTTTGAAGGAAATGTCCTTGTTACTCACTTTTTATGGTTTCCATGTTGGGAAGAGGGCAGTGAGTCTGTCCTTTCCCCCCTCAAACTGGGGACTTGAAACGCACACAAAAAATTCATTGGTTGAAGGATACTATTTTATGAAAATAGCTACTAACAAGATCGTCTCCTCAGATTGTTTGTGTCTGTTTTAGAGTGTCATATTGCCAGATCCTGTATGTTGTAATTGTTTTTACTTTAATCCAAGATGATCTGTTTCAGAAATACTTGGAAATTTTGCCAAACCCTTCGGACTCGGGATACCATTCTGGAGAACATGTGCAAAGCTGTCTGGTGTCGACTGAAATACAAACGATCACAGTTGAGGGCCAAGCGCAGACAATACACGAAGAACAACAGCAGCTTGTCTTTGGACAAAGATAACGAGGATGGAGGTGGTGACAGGAGCAGCAGCAGCATCTCTAGTCATGTTGTCCCCCAGTGTAGTAATATTGTTGGAAGTAGTTCCGGTGATGTTAACAGCAAGAGTGGCTCCCCTTCCTGCCTAGAAACAGCAGTTAAGACTCACTCGGTGGTATCAAATTCTGTATGTGTTCGCTGACAGGGGATTCTTTGTTTATTCTTTTTCTTTTGTTTTAGCCCATAAAAGGGCGATTGATAGATTATGTTGTGGTTTACCGCTAGGCTGTGATATCTGCCTCTTTCAGCCTAACAATCCGATTTCAGCAAGCACATAATTAATTGCTCTTTAGGAATGTTTGTTTATGAAACTGGGAGGGGGGGGGGGGGGGGGGGGGGGGAGAGGAGAGAGGTTAATTGTGTACTTGTCATGCTGACCTGTTATTTTTTTCTACCTTGTCCTGAATGATCACAGATTTATTTGCTGCAGTTGATTTTATCTCATTTGCATAGGGAAATGTGTAGTGGATGTTCTTTGTGCAGGGGTGGCTTCTGAGTTTGTATCCTGAAGGGTACCTGTCAGTATTTTTGGAAGGAGCATTGCCATAAGCTAAGATTGAGAATTTGGTCCCTTAAAGTCCTTACAGAAATTACCCTTTTCCAAAATTTCTAAAAAGAAAAAAGAAAAAAAAAAGAAAGACTAGAGGAAAACAGAAAAAAATTGTGAATCTTGGTTTGTTTGTTTATAACAGTCCTGTTGTTGAAATCTGTACCCACCAAGCAGACAGACAAGCCTGCTGTCTGTTGTAACATCATCATGGTTGTCAGGTCACTAAAAAGATTGATCTGTGATATTCAGAGTCATTATTTTTATTAGTGTTTTTTTATATGTCTAAAAAAACTGGCTGTCACCCAAAAAAATAAAAAATAAATGGTGAAGTTAAAAATGTCACATGCTTGGAATATCTAGGTTCTGTAGTAAATAGACTGTTTGACAGAAAAGGAGGATGGCCATAGCAATGCAAAGATTAAACAGCCTTAAAAGCCTATGGTTAAGCACCAGCAAGGAAATCAAAATTAGACTTTTGAGAGCATGCATCTTCCCTGTAGCAACAAATGGATGTGAGTCATGGACTATCTCTCAGTCCGTAAGAAAGAGAAAAGGGGGTTTTGAGCTGAAATGCTATAGAAAGATTCGCAGAATATTTTGGATAAAGAAGAGGAGAAATACTGACATCTTGAAAGATCTGAACATACACAGCATCCTGTCTCGGAAGCTGAAATATTTTGGTCATATCAAGTGCCACGACAGATTGTAGAGAAAATTATAGCAGAAAGCATGGTACCAGGAAGGAGGGGCAGGGGCCGACCAGTACGAAGATGGACACAGTATATAAGCGACTCTTTGAGAATGAAAGTACATGAGGCGGGAGAGAGCTGGCGAGAAGCCGAGTTTCTTTCAGGCAGACCGTGATGAGAGCGACGTTCTGCAAAGGACCTGCTACGTGATGATGATGTTTTTTTTAATATGAAAGGAAGTAAGTAAGCAAAAAAGCAGGGAAATAACCATGTTACTTTCCCTTGATCAAGAAAACACAGCCGCACAGAGTAAAGTGACATTTTTATAAGTTGATTATGATGTCACAATGGGACCCCCCCCCCCCCCCCCCCCTCCCTTCCCCCAGTAACTGTTTTCACACCCAATAATATCTCAGAAAATATCACACCCAACACATCTACACACTGTGCACTTATAGCCAGTACCAAAAATAACTTCGCCCCAATATCGGACACAATTTTGGGGGTTTATTTTAGAGCCCCACCCCAGCTCTCGACAGGGGCCGTAATATAACCTAAGGTTAACTCTGTCCCAGGGGGTTAAGCATCACAGGCCCTGGGGGTAGTAAAGAAAATAAAAACATCAGCACATCATGCGTTCATTGGGCTTCTAGGTAGGAACCTATGAACATATGATGCGTTCCTTGGGACTCAAAGAGTTAAATGAGGTTTCTGGGACTTGCCCCGGGTGATTCTCATCTGAATGGTGGCACTTTGTGTCAGCGAGTGTGTGTCGCTGATTGTGCGGCCCTGCTGAGGTTGAGCTTCACTCACTCACTCACCAAAGCTGTTGTATCGGCAAATTGACCACTACCCAAAGACATTAAAAAACCCATAAAGTTCAGAAAATGGACTTTTCAGGGGTGCCAGGGTTACGACCCAATGTACACAACGTAACCACAGTTGTACAGCTGATATATTTTTATCATTGATAACAAACAATTGTGATACCATGTGGTAGCATTTGTTGTTACAGAAATATTGAATTGCTATTCTCATCTTGTGAAGGCATCGTTTTATTGTCCAAGGACATTTGGAGACTGTGTGTGTTGTCATTATAGGTGGAATTTTTATTGTCCAAGGAAATTTGGAGACTGTATGTGTTGTCATTATAGGTGGAATATTTGTTTAACAAAAATCTTTTCTTTTTTTAACATTTATGATGTTTATTTTTTATGATATCAGATTTCTGGACAGTTCTCATAACTTTAAGGTTATTGAAATCAAATACAAATAAAGACAACCCCTCCCCCTTACCCCCCCCCCCCCCCCCCTTCTCCCAACAAATCCCAATTAAACCGGGAAGCTCTTTGTAGAAGTTGTGTATGTTTAAAGTACTAGGACAATTGAAAATCACACAAAAGTAGGCCATGTGGTCAGTGCTCTAGCAGAGTTGTTGGGAAAGATGACCTTATCACAGCCTTTGGTGGAACCTGTCTAGAGGAAGAAAACCTACCCACAGGGAGATTACAGCATTGGAGGCAACCTCTTTGCTTACACACTGGACACTGCAGACTCAACAGACACTTGTGTGAGCCAAACAGCTCTCTGCCAGTGTCTTGGTGCTGTACAGACTCCAGAACATGTCTTGCAAGACTGTCCTCTCCTTGAGGAGCTGCGAAGCAACATGTGGCCACACCCAGTAGACCTGACAACTAAGCTTTAGGGAAACCTAAGAGGCCTTAAGATGACATCCCAGTTTATGGCCAACAATGGATTAAATGCATGACCAGAGATCGCTGAAGAAGGATGAATCCTGTCTAGAGAAGGCATATCTACCCGGAGGGAGATCCACAACCATGGGTACAACCAGGTGTGACACACTCCTACCCACAGGGAGGTCCACAAACATGGGTATAACCAGGTGTGACACACTCCTACCCCCGGGGAGATCCACAACCATGGGTATAACCAGGTGTGACACACTCCTATCCTAAGAGAGATCCACACCCATAGGTATAACCAGGTGTGACACACTCCTACCCACAGGGAGATCCACAACCATGGGTATAACCAGGTGTGACACACTCCTACCACCGGGGAGATCCACAACCATGGGTATAACCATGTGTGACACACTCCTACCATCGGGGAGATCCACAACCATGGGTATAACCAGGTGTGACACACTCCTACCCACAGGGAGATCCACAACCATGGGTATAACCAGGTGTGACACACTCCTACCCGCAGGGAGATCCACAACCATGGGTATAACCAGGTGTGACACACTCCTACCCCCAGGTAGATCTAGAACCATAGGTATAACCAGGTGTGACACACTCCTACCCCCGGGGAGACACACTCAGGTGTGACACACTACCCCCAGGGAGATCCACAACCATGGGTATAACCAGGTGTGACACACTCCTACCATCGGGGAGATCCACAACCATGGGTATAACCAGGTGTGACACACTCCTACCATCGGGGAGATCCACAACCATGGGTATAACCAGGTGTGACACACTCCTACCCCCGGGGAGATCCACAACCATGGGTATAACCAGGTGTGACACACTCCTACCATCGGGGAGATCCACAACCATGGGTATAACCAGGTGTGACACACTCCTACCCACAGAGAGATCCACAACCATGGGTATAACCAGGTGTGACACACTCCTACCCACAGAGAGATCCACAACCATAGGTATAACCAGGTGTGACACACTCCTACCCCCGGGGAGATCCACAACCATGGGTATAACCAGGTGTGACACACTCCTACCCGCAGGGAGATCCACAACCATGGGTATAACCAGGTGTGACACACTCCTACCCGCAGGGAGATCCACAACCATGGGTATAACCAGGTGTGACACACTCCTACCCCCAGGTAGATCTAGAACCATGGGTATAACCAGGTGTGACACACTCCTACCCGCAGGGAGATCCACAACCATAGGTATAACCAGGAGTGACACACTCCTACCCCCAGGTAGATCCACAACCATAGGTATAACCAGGAGTGACACACTCCTACCCCCAGGTAGATCTAGAACCATGGGTATAACCAGGAGTGACACACTCCTACCCGCAGGGAGATCCACAACCATGGGTATAACCAGGTGTGACACACTCCTACCCGCAGGGAGATCCACAACCATGGGTATAACCAGGTGTGACACACTCCTACCCGCAGGGAGATCCACAACCATGGGTATAACCAGGTGTGACACACTCCTACCCCCAGGTAGATCTAGAACCATGGGTATAACCAGGTGTGACACACTCCTACCCGCAGGGAGATCCACAACCATAGGTATAACCAGGAGTGACACACTCCTACCCGCAGGGAGATCCACAACCATGGGTATAACCAGGAGTGACACACTCCTACCCCCAGGTAGATCTAGAACCATGGGTATAACCAGGAGTGACACACTCCTACCCGCAGGGAGATCCACAACCATGGGTATAACCAGGTGTGACACACTCCTACCCGCAGGGAGATCCACAACCATGGGTATAACCAGGTGTGACACACTCCTACCCGCAGGGAGATCCACAACCATGGGTATAACCAGGTGTGACACACTCCTACCCCCAGGTAGATCTAGAACCATGGGTATAACCAGGTGTGACACACTCCTACCCGCAGGGAGATCCACAACCATAGGTATAACCAGGAGTGACACACTCCTACCCCCAGGTAGATCCACAACCATAGGTATAACCAGGAGTGACACACTCCTACCCCCAGGTAGATCTAGAACCATGGGTATAACCAGGAGTGACACACTCCTACCCGCAGGGAGATCCACAACCATGGGTATAACCAGGTGTGACACACTCCTACCCGCAGGAGATCCACTCCAGGTGTGACACACTCCTACCCCAGATCTAGAACCAGAGTGTCCA